TGGGAAACACCAAGCAGATTCATATGTTTTGACGTGCAATTTTGAGAAAAATAAAGTCCGATTAGCCCACCAATAAATTAATATCTCTCTGATATGTAGTCCAGTGCGATGAATCCGTTAGGGTATCTTAGCTTCGGTCCAGGAAGTACCTATACTTTATTGTTTGTACTGTTGCTTTGGCTGATGCTCAATCTCTGCCTCTTCTCAGTCTCCACTTCGCTGCTGCTCTGTTTGACTGGCCCGCCAAATCCTATGACAAATAAGCGCTTCTCCTGCAATTTGTAATTTCAGTTGAGACTGGCTTTGCTTTTCATTTAACCAAAGCCGAGGACGAGCGCTTCGGGAATTGAATTGCGCGCTGCGATTTCGATTCTCTATCTCTCTATCCATCTGTCTGCTACTCTGTCCTTAGTTCATGTCTTCAATGCGTTGCAAGCATGCCAATGGCAGCGAAATATAACCTTCAGTGCAGCAAAGTTTACAAGTTTATGGAGTAGTCATCCATTGAGATCGTTGCCCAAAATTTGTAGGTAAGCGAACTCTAAAATTTCTCTATCGCGTTTCCCGCGACAATTTTTCAACACAACTCGCACAATTTTGCATTTTAATCACTTACTCTTATGCTCACAATGATGTAATCTTTAGGGTACGTCCCGGTGCTCCCTGCCTCCGTACTTCGCTTTTGCCCTTTATGAATGTATGCATATGAATGCATGCATATGGGTGCCTGCTTGTGCATGAGTGCATATGTGTGTGTGTGTGCAGATGCTGATGCAAATATGCTGCGGCTGTGCATATGTATGAGTGCAATTCCCATGCATGTTCAACATGATTAATTTCTGTAATAACTCGATTGGAATCACGCGCCAGCAGCAGCAACTTTTCTTCCATCAGGCATTCCACACAACCACACACACACATGGCATTGGCAGTTTGCGTATGCTTGGGTGTGTGTGTGTATTCCTGTTGGACTTGCACATTCCGTTATTCACCGCATACGTGAGGGAGCATGAGACAGAGAGAGATAGAAGCAGCGAGTTGGGGCAGTGCAAGCGGCAAGAATCAGGAGAGAGGAAAAATATTGAAAAAATATATTAATAATGGGGTGAGACATTCTAGGCGAGATGGAGAAGAGCTCGAACATAAGCTACTAAAAATATTTGCCTTACCCTTTACTGATATGCTTTGGGCAGAGGCAGCAGAAAAAGCACAACAACAAACAAGCAAAAACTTGCCTTCCGTTGCGTATTTTTCTTGTGTTGCTTTGTGGCGGCATTTGGCATTTGTCAGCACACGCAGCAACGCACACACTTGAAGAGCGAGAAAAATAGCATTAAGAAAGGTGGAAGAAGATACGCTGAAAAGTGCTATGTCAAAAATGTTTTAATATGTTTAAATTATATGATACAAATGAAACATTCTAACCTTCAGATGAATTCATTTGTGGGGGAGGGTTGTGACCCTGGAGGTATGTAAGTATCCATCCCATTATTAGGCAGTTTTCTACACTGACTTGGAAGACGTCTTGCTTCTGCGCCACCGTCTGCTGCTTCGGCTCCACGCTGCAGTCGTAAACATAATCAAGTAGCGGAACAAAAAAAAGGGATGAGTGACAACAACAACCGCACGGACTCCAAGCAACTGTCGCGATTACAATGCTCTCTCTCTCTCTCTCACACTCTTCGTCTGCCTCTGTGGGTCTTCTTATTCGCTGATTTCTACTCTGTTTATGAGCGCAGGCGTGAGCGTTCTTGTAAACTTACCGTTTCCTCTATGTTGTTGCTTTCAGTGCCGTTATTTTATTTGCAAAGGGGGACGGGGATCAAGAATCTTATGTACGGGACCCACCAGCGGTGATATTTAACCTTGTTAAGCTGGTGGAGGTGGAACCGGGCCGTAAGATATTTCATCTTACTCTTTTCAGAGTAAGTATTTACCCCAGAGGAAAATATGTAAAATCTACATATTTGCAGCGGTTAGCAAAAAACTATCGGGCACTTTTCTAGTATTAATTGTATTCTATTAAAAATACATAGCGAACTAAATGCATAATCTAGTAAATATTGTACTTGTATATTAATAAAAAAAACCTTGTAAGAGCGCTATATACATAGTGTCGAAAGGAATTGTGCAAGAGGCAGCAGAAGCATAACCGGGAGAGTGAGAGAAAGAGCCCATGCTCCAGTTATATCATTCGCTTGCCACCCATTCTGCCCACAACCATCATGCAGTTCAATAAGTTTTAATGCACTTAATTAATTCCCACTGCGTATAAGAGCGTGATGAAGAGACAGGGAAGGCGAGCAAGGGTAAAAGAGTCAGAGAGCGATGCCATTTGCCATTTCAAATTGGATTTGAACAAGAATTAAGACCCACTACGGAAGCCGACCCTTAATATTCTCTCGCAGTTCGATGTTGTCCATGGCCCACATGTATTTGGAAGTGATTCGTTCTCTGCGTTGCAAACGGCATACCCTCCAAAAGGGTATGATAGAAATATTTCTTTTCCTTTTATTGGAGTTCGTCAATAACATTAGCATTCCTAGCGCTGCACTCACTTGGCACCCCATGGACGCCCACTCTGTCTGTTTACCTAATTTAAGTTATTCTAATTCAATTAGTTCATCTTCTAATTAATCGTCATGGCTGCCTCCTCTGCCACATTCCACGCCAGCACTGTCTGCATCTTCCCTCCAGCTCCTGCCGTGCTCAAGTCAAATGGAAAATGCAATTTAGTTGAGTAAATATCGAATTCGATGATGGTTAGGATAGATGGATGCTTATGTAGATCCCTGAGGATTTGCGGACTGTATGTTTGCCACTCGAATAATGCATGGGGAAAAATAACAAAATTTGGCATCTTTGTATTTACATTTAGCACTGAATTCAACTGTACGTTCGAACATATCTATGGCTAAAGGCTTTCAAGGAGAGTGCCAAAAGCTAATTCAGAATTTAAAAATTACATTAATTTACATTAATATCTAAGTTCAGTTTATCGTTCAGCTTTTTGCTGGTGTGGCAACGCCAAGGCGATTTTTTTACAAGGCAAAAGATGGCCACACTGTAATTAAACAGCTGATTAGTGTGATTGAATCTTTGTGTGCGCTTGTAGTTATTGTTTCCAGTAAATATGTAAGTCATCGAATAAAGCAATTTCTCGTTCTCCAACTTGTGAATACTTCTCTCCTGTGAATACTCGCTGTGGAGCCCCTTTTGAATTTCTCGAAGCATGTGTTAAGCTTTATGCGACGTCACAATCCCATATAGCAGAGGACACAAACGGAGATGGAAACGAGAGAATGGACTGTAATTTGCATTGATTTATGGCCGGCAGGAGGAGCCGCCAGGGAAGAGATACTTGCAACAGCCACGGGGTCGGACTCGGCAACTGCAACTTGCACAGTTGCACAATGCAGCGATGTCAAGGTGGGTCAGGCACTGACACTGTTAATGCGTCTACGGCTGCATTCCGATCCATTCCGGCCCGGACCTTACCTGACCGGACCGTGCCGTGTCACGTACATTCAATTAAACGCCCTTGAGTGCCGCCACAGCCACGCCTTCTGCCTCTATCCTGCATCCATTCTGTGTGCCTCTTGTCTCTGTCGCCTTTGGTGCAGTTTATTGGCATGCCAGTGCCAGCGCCAGTAGCAGGGGCAGGGGCAGGGACAGGGACAGCGGCGAGTAGGAGGAGGGCAGCGATGGCCAGACCCCGGGAGCAATGAGCTAAAGATAAATAACAAGCCATATAACGCATACGCACAGAGTGTGTCGCGCGGGACAGGATGGGAGGACAGACAACAGCAGAGGCAGAGCCGCAGCATCAGTTTGTCTTTGCCTTATGTCGAAAGGAAGCGCATTTGGGCGGGGCCCCCTTCCGAACAGCATTCTCCACAAACAGTGAGAGCTCTCCGGCGTGGACAAGACTAAAGGTTTTGGGAACGTAACGTTAGGGATTTCAAGATCGGCTTTAAACTTTAGTAAATCTTTCTTTCTTTCCTTTACGATTCGAACAGGTAAGGCCTCTGTCCGCATCGATGTCGAGGCTGTGCGCTATTCCACGTCCGTCGTTTATTTTTCCTTCAAAGGAATCAGATTTTAAAACCATTTTGCAGCGCATAGGTTAAGGTTAGCCTATGGTTCGATTTTTGTCAGCAGGTAGAGCATTTACTGTACGCCATCGTTTGGCAAAGCCCGGACAACAGTAAACAAGCACGGAACGCTGCTAGCTAGAGCCGTAGCCATACCCAGGACCGGAGAGAGCGATAGAGAGACCTGATCCCCTTGGTCCAGTTACCCCCGCAACTTTTGGGGCTTGTCAAGCATCTCCCCTCTCGCTCTTTTTGTATTCCATGCTCTCAGGCGTTGATTTCCACAGCTGCCAAACGCTTGTCTTTTGATCTCCAAACGAAACCGGAGCCCCGAACTCGTCCCAGGACCCCATGGCAGAACCCAACCCCAGCTGACTCCCTCCCTTCGATGGCTCTCTACAAACGCAATTTCAATTAAATTTTAAATATTTATGCAAGAGCAACAGCAACGACAGACACAGACCCCACAAGAGATGCGCACATACGGCAAGAGGGCGGGAGAGAGGGACAAAAGCCCAGCCAGACCAAAACAATTACAACATGGCTTAATCCTTTTTTACTGTTGTTTCCGTTTTTCGCCCATTTCAATTGCATTTTCCGCTTTTCCACACCCATACATATGCATGTGTTCGGCATGGTTTAGTGACTGTGCAGCGCATTTTCACTTGATCAACATTTCTTTTTCTGCGGAGTTTTCATTTTATGGCGTTGCATAAATTTGGTTTTGCACATCGAAGCGCAACGATGATCTATATTATTGCTATGCTAACCCTTGGCAGCAAGTTTTTGGTAGGTTCTTAAGGCTCTTTAAATCTAATAGTTTCTTGTTGAGTTTTGTCTTTTATATTATGCAAAGAGGTTAATATTTGTTTTATACTTTCAGCTAAGTCAATGAAGATGCAATTATTTGCTGTTCATTCAGTTCTTTTATTCTGGATGGCTCTGTTGGCTCTGTGTCGAATGATAGCATTAATTTGTACAATTAACTATTTCAACGTGAAAATGATAAGTCTTAAGAATGTCTGGGACTCAAAGTGTGTCAAGGAGAGAGAGCTAGTTAGAGTGTTCGACTGGTTATATAATCCTCTCCTTCCGGCCCGCATTCATCTCGAATCGGGAGACGTACTTCTTGTCTGTCTCCTGTTTTCGCTTCTCAATCTCTTCTTGGCGCTCTTTCCACATCAAATTCACAAATTCCAAGCGAGCAGGACTTAAAAACTCTTTAGTGGATTTTGCTGAGTCCATTTGCTTACCGGCGGACGGCTTCTTCTCTATTAGGTTCATTCGGTTATCCTTGTACATCTGTCGCAAAAAGTCACGGCGGCTTAGTTTCAGTTTCGTGTCATCTTTGGGAATCTGCGAGTTCACTTTGGTGGCCTCCTGACTATATTCAGTAACCTTAAACGGGCCAGTAGACATCTGTTCGATGTCGTTTTTTCTATTTTCTTTCATCATCTTCAATGATTCGCGGCTATTAAGCTGTTTTTCTGAAACCACAAGGGCAGACGCCTCTTTTGATGCGGTGGTCTTTTGCTTCTTCTTCTGAGACCACACGGCAATAGTCTTTGGATTCAGTTGGAAACTGTATTTGTTGCAGCACAGTGGTGCCTCGTACAAGTGCCTTTGCGCACCTGAAGGTTTAAGAAACCCAGCGACATGATCTCGTGGAATCTACCCAATAAAATGGAAGTACTCACCGCGAATCAACATAATGTTTATTGGACGAAACATTCCGCTTGAGCTTAATGTTTTGTTGGGTTTTTTAGAAAATTTAAATATAATTTTAAAATTGAAGTCGAATTTTTGAAATGAGTGTGAGGTTTTAAAGGTTTTGTTCTGAATTCTAGAATGAATCAGAGAATATCAGGTCAAACTCTATATTACTCTGAGTACCAAGCCAACTGTGGAAGTATGAAATTGTAGCTGCACACTTGTTAAGTTACTCGTTCTCATTTTCCCGATCCTGATCAATTTCCTTCAAGTTAAGAGACACACGCGTTTTTCCGGTTACTAAATTTCGCCATACCTCTCTCCAATATTTGCCACGCCTGCGGCCAAATGTCACCGCCAACGGCAGCCATAATTTACTGTCTCATAAACGATGTTGGCCACAGCTAGGACGCGTAAATCATTCCCCGGCTATCCAAAAACCAACAAACACTCTTTTTTTCCCACTCCTTCAAGCTCCCATTCTCATTCCTCTCTGTAGGAGTTACTTAAATTCGAACTGTAAGCGACATTTCGACTACAAGATACCCGGTATTAATATACATATATTCTAGCCACCTGATCTGAGTTTAATACAAGTTTACAGAGCATTAGAGAATACAGTTCTGTTGTCCAAACTTTTGACAAGAACCGAAATACCCGCTGAAAGCGTAAACATAATAACCAGAAATAATGCTACACACATATTCGAGAGTGCCACAAATAAATCTAATAAGGACCGCATGATTTGCATAATTTTCCTATTTAAGAGAGAGAGAGGGCTAAGCGGGGGCTTAGCTGCTCAGGTAGCAATTGAAGCCAGAAAGCTCGGCCACGGCTGTGAGTGTAGCATAAAACACTCAAAGGATATGCTGACAATGAGGCTCAACTCTAACACTATCAAAAATATACAACAGCATAGACAATAGTGATACTCCTGAAAAGAAATTGGCTTTGGTTTTAGTTAATATTTACAGAATTATAGATAATGACCTGGAAACAAACAGTTTTTATCCAATGATTATGAAACACATTAAATGCCAAAAGTGCATAATATTAAATTCAAAAGATAATGTAAAAAACCCGTTTTATTCTATATTAAAACAAAAATCCTCCATCGTCCAATTCAAATCCTTTCAGGAATACCTTTAATGCCATAACATGGCAAAGAAGAGAGCTAAAGTGAGTGCCTTGCCTTACTTCGGTATGTGGCCTAAAAGCGCGCCTAAATAAATTCAATTTAACGTGACTAATACCGTTTTATCGCATTGTTTAAGGCATGAAAGCACTGCACCCTCCAGTGTATCGCAACTCAACTCTGCCACGCTACCTGCTGCTGCTGCTCTGTCATCATTCTGTCGTGGCACAGTGGCTCGTTCTCACGAATTTCTCTACCCTTATTAACTGTTCGAGAAGTTCTCATTGGTAATTTTGCTGAAGTTCGTTCTATGTGCCGTATTAGTCACGTATATTAAATGGTTCAACGCAAATTTGAGATTTATTATTAAATCAAAAGCAATGTTTATTGACTTTTCCCCAATTCCTCGTATAAGGAAATTAATATTTTCCGATGAAAAAAAGTCCTTTCATCCTCTGCAGCCGCCATCGCAGTTGCATCCATATATATGCATATTGCATATTGCTGAAAAGCGTTGAAAATCATATTTTGTGTTTCCGATTCTCCGCTTTGGCCCACTGTGCGTCGTTTCGTTTGTGTGTCTCTTCGTCTCTTCCTCCATATCCTACCCCACTCACTTTGTCTTTTCCATACCTGCGCGGATGTTGCCTTTTGTATGCCAACAATATTGTCAAATTTCATATGTGTGTGTGCGTGTGTGTGCTTATGTCTTTCTCTGTGCTTGGGCTCGCATAACCCCACTCACCCTCCCATCCAGCTTCAACCCCACCAGAAAGTTTAACGGTTCCGATTTACTGACTTACTCCAGCAGAATCGTCAGCGCCAGCGTCGACAGCGACGGTGACGGCGACAACATTGCCAAATGCAATGAGGAAATAAAAAATACAACATTTTGAGGAAATTGAATTGTATTTGCTACCTCCGTATAGGTTCCTATCTGGAGTGTGGAGTGTGTATTTTATTTGACGGATAATTTTGTACAGTTGACAAAATTTTTAATTTATTTTTATTTATTTATTTTTTTTTGTTTGGCGACTACTTAAAAATTATCCAGGAAATATACTAAGGCGATTGTTTCGTGATTTTTGTTTTATTAGTAGGCCTAGATTTTATTCCAAGCCTCAACTATAAATAGCCAGCAATTCATTTGATCAGAGTTCTGTTAAAGCCTAGTTTCACCTTTTTAGAATTTGGAAAAAGAAAATAGGCAAGAGAGTTACGAGTCGACGTACTGTTTTTATATTTATATTTTTTTTAAGACAATCTAGCTTCAATGTTCGAAAACCTAAAGAAGAAGACCTCACGGGAACCCGTTGTGGATGTCGGTGATAAGTGCTCGATTTGCAAACGTCCAAAGAAAGATCCAGTGTCCGCCCACTGCGGCCACTCATTCTGCTGGGTGTGCATCAACGATCACCTCTTCGCCAGTCGTTCCCATGGCAAGCGTCGCTGTCCAGTGTGTGCCATTGACATGGAAGCTCATGTTCCAGGGTACGGAGAAAGACTGAAGTCAAAAGATCGTGGGTTCCGCGACAATTCTAATGGGGATGACATCAACGGGGATTGTTTAATTTGCGTGCGTCCAAAGAAGGATCCAGTGGCCACACATTGCGGCCACTCCTTTTGCCTGGCCTGCCTTAAGGAGTATTTGTTCTTTAACAAACACACCAAGATACGCCGCTGCCCAAAGTGCCAGGTCAATATTGAATCTGATTTTACCATAAAGAAGGGATAGCTCAGAGGAAACCATACCACTAAAATGTAATATTTAATAATTGTGTAACTAAATAAAAATGCAGTGCCATATACCAGTTATTTGAAATCGCCGCTGACACTTTGGTCGCCTGTCGCTACTTCCCTTCAACCGTTACTTCTGTTTGCTTTTGTTCTTGTAGGCTACTCTCTGTTTCCGCATCCACAGCTATAGTCGTCGCTCGTTGTATTGCCTGAGGCTTCACTCCGCCACTCCCACTCTTTCTCATTCACGCACAACTTGTATTTGTATTGAAGTTAATATAACAGCATTTTATGGGCTGCTGCTGGTGCTGCTGCTGCGCTGTCTCTGCTTTTGTCTCTTTCACTGCGACTGCTGCTCAATATGTTTTCATGGCCATTTGAGCGTCTGAGTGTATGCAGCAATCAAATTAACTGTTATGTAAGCTTTAAAGCAGGAGAGGGAGAGAGAGAGGGCAAACATTTGGGAGCCGAAAAAAATGATACCCTTGAAAATAAAATGTTTATTTTGTCAGAACTCAATATTGACTTATTTAGTTTCCTTTGAAAATTGCAGCAAGATAACTTTGCATTGAGAAATTAGTTAGAAAAGCCACGAAAAGATTGGTTTTAGTTTGCTTTGGTTGTGTATAGTCTTGGTCTCTCTTCCAGGGTATTTGTCAAGTCAATACTCCACCCAATCGACTGTGTGGTTGTGGTGGTATGTGTAATACGATTATAGAATGTACTTGCCTGCAACCATCAAAATCAAAAATTTAACTCAGTCTCGCCCCCAAAATTCTCTAAACGATAATGAAAATGATAAGCCAATCATAATGGCAAAATCTCTTGTACTCTCATCCCAATCTGCGTAATTGAGTGGCCCGGGGGTAGTTCTCAACGAAAATCGCGTTATATGTAGAATATATAATTTGTTCCAATATTCTGTGCAAAAATTAGCATATCTCTTTTTCAGCAAATTTAATTAACGACTGGCCCTGAAGGAAGTTCTAGGGAAAAACCTGAAGCCGCATTTGTCAATTTTATTTATGGTCACGTAGCGTTTACATTTTGCTCTACCCTAATGGCCGCAACAAACACGACAGGTTGTCTGGAACCTGAAACCTGCAACACGCAGCAGCATCTGCATTAGCAGGTGTTAAAGGCCACTTAAGTACTACAAAATGTAGGTGGGAGGATGCCTACAGCTTGAGGTGGAGTCCTCCTGCTGGCAGCTTGGTGTAATTACGCCGCTTTTACAGCAGCCATGGAGAAGGAAAAATTCAAGGTGTCCAAATGAGTCGTCTGCCAAGTCTATGGGTTAATGCACAAACAAGTCTGCTGAAGTAGCAGAATGAGTGAGCTTAAGTTTGAAGGATAGTCTAGACTATTCTAGACCATTGTTGTGGATACACATATCCGATGACACTGGCATTCTTTGATTGGTTTAAGGGAGACATTAGAAGAAAAGAAAACTAATTGAATATAATAATTTGGCATAAGGATATCAAAATGTATAGAACATTTATTGTTTAGGTAACTACCTAAGTATCTGAATATGTTTGACCTCCGTTATATTGGCTTTTTAACAACAAACAGTTCTGTAAAGCACACAAAACAGAACAATTGGTCGCAGTGTGTGGCGACCACTTTCTTATTCGGATTCTGACAAACGGAACAGTTGTCATTACTGCCGTTGACATGATCATTTGATTTGGGCTGCTTTCCGTATCCGGGAACATGAGCTTCTAAGGTAGTGGCACACACTGGACAGCGGCTCTTGCCATGGGAACAAATGGCGAAGAGGTGATCGTTGATGCACACCCAGCAGAATGAGTGGCCGCAGTGGGCGGACACTGGATCTACCTTTGGACGCTTGCAAATCGAGCAATTATCACCGACATCTACAACGCATTCTTTCGGCATCTTCTTCGGGTGTTTTATTTTATTGGTATCCATGTTATCCAGGCTGCCTAAGCGTTGTCTTTGGAACGGCATAAACAATTGCATACACGTGAATTTCTTTGTTCTATTATCTGCGTAGATATGCTCACCTCAATCTCTGGATGCCTTCCGGAATTCTGATGTAATAATCCTGGTTTCTGTAGGTCCGTAAACTGTGTGAAGTTAAGGGATATTCAGTCAAGCAAAGCTGAAGTGAATCGCAGTATGGATCTTGAAAATTTTACTTCCGATAACACGCGTGTTTACTTTTCTCATTTACTCGAAACTTATCGAGTATTTTAGTATATTTCCTTTCCTTAGTATTTTTTTGGCGAAGCACAAGCAGTGTAACCAAATTTGATCAAAGATTCGATGCAACATAAAATCTGCTAAAAATTGAAATCTTGAATTAAGGCATAGTTTGAATGAATTCAACAAATACAAACAAAAGTTCCACAAAAATGTAAGTAAAATCACTTAAAATATTTGCCAGGAAGTAGATTTATGCATTCTTTAGCTCAAGTCAAAAAGAGTTATGCTCCTGGCATTCGTACAATTGGAATTTATTTTTGTATATATTTTATTTTACTCCATTTTATGTATTATTTGTGCACTTTAAGCGTGTGCAAAAATGTCCTTTGATATTTACGAGGACCAATGCAACAATCAACAGTATTTGGAGTATCAGACGACCCACTTGTGTGGACTGTGGCAAAGTGTGCACAGTTATGCCTTGTTAAAAATGCCCAAAGAGTGTAAGAGCGTGTGTGGGTCGGTTGTTGTGGGGGTTTTGGGGTTCTTTTTTGGGTTAAGGGAGTCGCAGCCTGTGACAAGTTGAAATGCCTGGGCGTGGCCCAAAAACATCATCATCATCATCATCGTCGTTTCAGTCGTCGTTGTCGTTGTCATCATCGTGTTAACAAAAGAGCATACTCAAGTTACATACGAAATGCAATTCCACTTTTGCGCACTTTATGTCAACATTTTGTACGTAAATCTTTGTGTAAGACTATGCCAAACGCTCTGGCCCTGGGATCAGAGAGGTCGACCTCTCGTTCCCCCATCACCCACCTCTAGCTATCCTTCTCTCTCCCTCTGTGGGAAGGTGTGTAAAGCCCACGAGCCCTCCTTCTCTTTTCCCCCCATTGTGTGGATGGGTGTGGGCAAAAGTGTCAAAAGTGCTTGAAATTTCAGCAGGCTTTTTGTACAGTCTCTGGAAGGGCGACAGAGGGAGAGGGCGACTGCTGGTGCGAGTACGAGCGAGAGTGAAGTGGATCCAAACTGGACAATCGCAAGCCCTGTGCATACCATCTCCTCGTCCCTGGACTTCCATTTATGCCCTGGCAAAAGCTCAAATGCAGAAATCACGCTCATATGCTCAGTTGCACGCAAAGTCAAAAGTCTCTTTGAGTGCAAGACACACTCACACTCCCGCACGCACTCATATTTGAATACCGTTGGTTTCTCTTAATGCCCTAACTCGCAGAGGAAATATTTTTTCTAGCATGAAGTTTGCTATGAACAGACTCAAAAATAATTTTAAAATGTAAAGGGTATCCTCAGCTTCGGCCACTGGGTTGATTCTTTCCTTCTTGTTTTGTTGCTTGCTCTGTTTTTGCACACTTTCTCTCTCACTTTTATTCTTTTTGGTCTTCGTCGTGTCTGTTTAGAGCTGGCGAGAAATTTGATATGCGTATTTGTGTTGTGCGCTTCTTTTGGGCTGGCTTCCAAACAAATAAAAAAATCGACATTCTGGCTGCATTCTTTTTTCCTGCAGCGAACTGTTTAAATGCTGCAAATAAAGATGCATACCGTTAGAAATACATGTACAACTATCAGGCCCACAACAGCTGTGACTCCTTCTTCCACACCTCTTTCTCGGTGTTTGTTTGTTTTTGTAGTTTCCATGAAATATTTGACGCTGGCAGCGTTTTTTTTTTCCTTTGTGGAAGGCAAGGAACGCAAAAACTATTGAAGAAGAGCGGAAACCAGAGCCAGTTTGGTTGTGTGGTAGAATCTTTCGACAATGCGGAAATAGTCCTGGAAGTTCTCAAGGAAACCAAGCCATCTGCGGCTGTTGCTCAACTATTTCCAGCACTTTGTCGTGTTCGAATATTCATTGTCTGCGGAAATACACCATAAGACGATAGTTTCCTGTTTGATGTTAGTCTTTCTGGGTATAAGATTGGTAATTAAAAGCAATCACTAGTCTCCCTCAAATAATTTTGGAACTTTTAAATAAGGAATTATGCACAGAAGCATGCACATCTCTCAATTGGAAGCGCATTTCAGCAGGAACATAAGTAACAGCGGCGGTAATACTCCTGGGCAGCCAAGCTCCCTCTTCCTCTTCCTCCACAGCCACTTCCGCCTTCACATGATACCTCTCATGTGCACACATGCAGCACCAAAAAGTAGAGAGAGAAAGAGGAGGAAAAGTGAAAAGTCTGAGCAATATAACTGTTATTGACACGACATCATATTGAAAATATGAGCAACGTTTTTTTTTCAGCATTTTCCCTGTTCGGTTTTTTGCTTGGTGCGAGAATGTGGGTGGTACAGAGTGAGGCTCTGGCTCCATTGGGGGTTCGCTTTCGGTAAATAAATGCGACAACACACCCACACACACACACACACACGAAGGTAAACCGATATATCAAAAGTGCAACCATGGAGATGGTTGCATATTTTATGCTCCTGTCCGCGAGTGTCTGTGGCTGTGTGTGTGTGTGCGGCTGGGTGGGTGCCACGCCCACGATAAAAGGCAAACGGCAGAAAAAAAAATGCGCGATATCATCATGTTACACAGATAAACGCCTTAGGCAGTCGCCTGTCACACGCAGAGCACCGGAAAATGCGTTTAAAAGGATATTTTGTAGGTGGGTGGCTCTCTGGCTCTGGCAAGAGTGTGAATGTGTGTACAGTTGCGGTCATAATAATAGTGGAACTACTATATGTATGTGTGGTTTGACTTCCATGTTTGTATATTTATTGCCAAGTAATCGAAGAATGAAAAAAAAGTTTATTTCATGTAAATCAGAAATAAATAAATCCTATTCTTCTTTGAAATTATCTCAGAATCACTCTTACTTTGCCAGTAGCTGTAAATGGTATGTACAATATACACAGTTGAGAGTGCTGACAGCTTTTGATTTTGTAATTAAAATGCGACAAAAACCAACACTGGTGGACATGTGGTGGGGAAAACGACAGCCATCCAACACGACTTTAACTCAAACCCAAACAAAAGGCAGACCCACCAAACCACTTCAATTGGAAGCATTTTGCCTCATTTAACTCAAAACCAAATAAACCATTAATTTAGCTTTATGATGTGGGAACACCACTATGTCAATCAATCATTAAGCTCTAAGGATTTATAGACGAAGATACCAAAATGAAAATTCCATTCGGCTATTTGACCATTTTCTAATTCAAATCCATTAATCTTTACGAATGCGTCCATAATTATGCAATATATTTGAGGCACTCCCATGGATATAAACATATGCATATTGTATGTATGTATAAGTCACTAAAAGCTGAAGATATTTCACATAAAGCTTGCAGCTCCTTCCCCTGATGTGTGTCAACTTAATTTCAATATTGCATTGATTGGGTGTAAATTTATTCACTCCGATGTGTCTATATACATATGTAGATGTGTGTTGGTTAGGTGTTTCAAGGGTATACTCCTTTACATGTGTGACTATGAATAATTAGAGCAAGTGCCGAGAATCGACACTCAAGTTGTGGCTGGGAACTTGATTTGTCTGACAATTTGGTTGATTATAAAATGTGAAATTTATTCAGAAAATGAATTATCAATTTTGATGGTTAGTTGAAAATGTGCTTTAGGTGTTAATCAATTGGAACATGGAACATGCAGTAAACTATAAAGAGAGAATATTTGGTGGCAACTTTAATAACAATATTAAGACCAATCGTTTTGCTCATTAAGAATACACTTTCAGTAATTTGTATTATTATTCAACAACTCCAATCTTGCTCTTGCGGTTAATGCTTTCCACCGACTGAATGAACAACTACGGAGTTGTTCCCAGTGCTCTGCGGCCGAGAGTCCTGCCCCACAGGGACATTTTGATTCATTCCGACTAGCAGCGGATCCTGGCCTAACCATAAATCCTTTACTGACCCACAAAAAAGAAATGCGGCCGTATTGTTAACCCCCTTCTTGGCTTGTCCAGCCACAGGGACATGCTGACTGCATAATTTGCCTTGACGTTGTCGTTTTCTCTTGTCTCTTGTCTCTCGACTCTTGTCTGAAAAATTTTCGTTTTAATTTTCATGTCTCTGGATAGGGCTGGACCCGGACCTGAGTTGAGTGGGGGGTTGGTCCTGGTTCTGGGGCTGGGGCTGAGGGGCTGTCAAATAAATGATTGCAATGTCGTGTAAGAGCCGCAGAGATTAAGCAATTATGTGCCACTTAATGTTGCACTCGCCCTTCCCCCTTTTGTGTCTGCCCCTTTTTGGTAATTGAAGTCATTCTCATTTTCTGATTTGGCCTGCATAAATTTTCGTTTTCGGTTATGCAAGCTTTAACCACCAATTTGATTGGGGAAACCTCACTTTTCGAGCTGGGATGAAAGTTTTCGGTTTCCGCTTGGAAACATTACGGAAGCCCCAAAATCGCTTTTTAATAATTTTCCCGGCAGTTAGCGGTGCTCACGCAGCCGTGGAGGGAACTAGGAAGTTTACTGATTCGGGTTAGGCGTCTATTGAATTTACTGGAAAAACTACAAACAATTTAATCAATTTTATTCGCTTTTTTTCTGTGGGTTTGTCTTGTCTGAGTAAAATTCCATTCGAAAATTTCCTTTTTTGGATTTTAGTTTGATTTTTTGTGTGTTTCTGTTGCATGTTGCTTAAAATAACTTGTGAGGAAAATTAATAAAATGAAATGAAAACATTTACGGGGCCACAGAAAATATTTGAATTTAAATTGTCCAATTTCTGTTGGTCAGGAACAACAACAGCATCAGTGGAAGACTTGAAAAAGAGATGGAAACAACAGCAGAAATAACATGGGAAAAATAAAGAAAACGAGCATACTAATTTTGAGATTTAATCCGACTAGGGGATACCCAAAGATTGATATATTTTTAAGTATTAAATTGCAGCGCCATCTAATGAAATTCGAGCAGACGTCACAGAAGGGAGAATGGGAAAAATTAAAGAC